TTGTTGTTCGTGTGTTCAACTTTCCAAAAGCTTATATATGGCAACGCCTTGACCCTGAAGTCAAGGAGCTCGAATCACAGATGGTAGTGTCCATACATGAGGGACCAATTTTTTTTGGAAGTTCCCAGATGCCTCAGCCTGAACCCTTCATCCCAACTACGATCTCAGAGCCTGGCCTGGCCCCAATCCCGATTACCTCATCCCTAAAACCCTAATCTGAAGATTCAACATGTTACGATGGGCATAAGATACTATTTACCGATACATATAGGCATACACATACAACAACACATACCAGGTTTTGTGTATACTAATCAGGCATATAAGACAGCAAAGACCCGCCTGCAGACAGCCCTGACCCTGCGTCCACCAACGGAGCCGCCGCCACAAAATCGCTTTCTCAGGCCGGATCAGATCAGGTTTCAGTTCGAATTGGGATCCAGAGTGTAGGGCTTATTAGGTAGTTCCCAAACCCTTACCTCACCCAAAGCGCTTTGGAGTGTACTGACAGTAGTGGCATCTGGGTTCGCAGAATGGAGGGGTTCCAGCAGCAGGAAAGATGATGATAAGGGATCCGGTTTGGCTCTGCAGCCACTTGCGGTCAGAAAGAACTGTCGTAAAACTGGTGACTATTCCAGGTCTGGGTAGAGTAGCCACTAAAAGGGCAAAGCATCTCCACGCGCTTTTGCACCACGGGAGGCAAAATCTTGTAGCAAGTCGATGAGGGAGCAAGTCTTGTGCATTTACAGAAGTTTGCATTCATGTGCCGTTCTACAGCTTGCGTGCAGCTGTAGGGTCCATTGAGTTGCAAGTCAGGACTGATGGCGACCATGCAAGCACGGGACGTAGTAAGCACTGGAATTTTCATTTCTGTTGACATAGACTTCATGGCTACCACCACAATGCACGAACAGCATATCAGTTGCCACCTGCTGTTCCAGTATTCTAGGGATACGAACTTTGAAATTGTTGCGTAACATCTTAGTCTCAGCTGCATTTCAAAGCCGAAACGCTCAAAGAAGGACGGTTCAGTGGGCGGAGTCTTCGTGTGGCGGAGGGCCATTTGCTGCCTGCTCATCTAATCCGGCAATGGAGGAGTTGGGGTCTGCCGGCTCAGTACCGGACTTAGGCCCTTGGGGGTCATTAGGGCTTAGTGATTGCGGGAAGCTGGCTTGGCCGAAGTGTGAGAACCGTGGGCTTGTGGGTGCAATAGTTTAGTATTTTTGTGTTGATGACGAAGGGCCTGGTTTTGGCTCGCAGCTTTGGTTCTTCTGCATGCTATGTGCAGGAGATAGTGCGAGACCTTCTGGCTGGCAAAAACCATACCCGAGCAGCATTCTGGATGCAGTCCGCAGGAAATGTCTTCTCTGTTGGGTCTGATTCGGTCTGATCTCCAAATTCTCAGTACACAATTGGACACCCACTGTCATTATAGCCATATGAGCCACAGTCAATACTCG